ATATATATTAATTTTAAAAAAATCTAATTTACTACGAGGCTACAAATATTTATAATCAATTAAAATATTGATTAAAAAAATAAAATAAAAATTATTAAACTAGATTCAAATGATGTTTTAATATAAATAATAATTTTTAAATCTTGCTCAAACCTTTATTGTCTTATGTCTTATGACTACACGATTAGGATTGTTAAAAGAACTCTTTGTTCGTGAACAGCTCGTGTTCGGCTCCCTTAAACAACCCACCCGAAATTTTTGAGCTCGAAATATAAACGAGCCGAACACGATCATGTTCGGCTCGTTTACACCCCTAACCGTAGATCACCGTGATTTACGGTCATATACAATAATTTTTTATTGTTGTAAAAATAATTAAATAATTGGACAAGAAAATATAGTTACGTCCTAATTCGAATGAAATCAAGTCACTTGTGACTTATGAAAAAATAAAATAAAATCTGTTCGGTAATAAAAAGGAATATTTTTTCCGTGTTATTCATATATTATTTTATGTTATTCAGTTATTATTGTGTGTTATTCAAGTGTTATTGATATGTTATTATATTATTATAATAATGAGAATATTTTCATAATGCAATAACATCTGAATAACATACAATAATACACACGGAATAACACAGGGGAATATTTCTGTGTTACCGCGCCGATTTTTTTTTCTGTCACTTCCACGTTGCGTGATTTCATTGGACTTCACTTGTAATTCTACGTGCGGAGTCTGATGCAATATTTTTTTCAGTTCGACCGACATATATATAATTAAGAGCCTATTTGGGGCAACTTATTAGGTGCGGTGACACTATGGAAACGCAGCAGGCTTGTTTGAAAAACACGTTTGGCTCAGTTTTTTCCTAACGCTCCGACGCACTTGAGCAATTTTGTTAAGAGACGGAGAAGTGGAAAAAGGGTCGCGTCTTGCGTCTTCTGTGTGCGTTAGGGGGAACAATTCCTCCAGTGCCCCCTCCCCTCGACGCAAATGAGGTAACATTCGACCCTCTGTTCTCCCCTCGCCCTCGCACTCCCCGAATTCGAGTATCGCGTTCGCCATTGCGCTTCGTTTTATCGCCACCTGCTTTCTCTTTCCACCGGAGCAGCTGCAATGGCTGTCGCTTACCCGTCCTACATTTCCACCTTGAAACCGCAATGGCTGCCCTTTCCACCGAAGCAGGTTCAATGGCAGCCACAAGCTTTTTTGTGCATAAAAAATTGAAGTTTTAGGGTTGATTCTGGCTGCAGAGAGAAAATGTGTTTTAGAAAATGGTTATTTCGTTTTTACTATTTATTTTATTTTTTTTACTTATTTTTGTGGTTAATTGAAATCATCATATTTGAAGAAATGAAGGTGTTTGTTTAAAATTAATATTGATTTCTAATTCTAAACAATCAATTGACTGGAATTTTTTTCAAACATTATTTTGAATTGAAACAATTTGGAAGGAGAAGGATCTCGTTTAAACATAAATTTTGTTTGGGAGTATTTTGGTGGATATACTTTGCTTTTATTTTGTGATTGGCTTTTGAAAGTGATGTGATTGGCTTTTGAATTGTGATTGGCTTTTGAAAGTGATTATTTTTGTAGTGTTAGTAGAGAATAAAAGCCAATATGTTTGTGTAACTAGATTTGCATGGGAGTTAACCGATCCACGTTTGGGTGTCCTCTAATGTTTGACATGAATGTTGTTTATCAATTGAGCAGTGTATTCTATTTTTTTGAACTGATGTGTAGCAGTTTGAGACTATGTTCTGTGTATTGTTTCTCCCATACAGTTCTGTTATAAACAGTTTCACCAAACATGGGCAGAATTGTCATTTATCCAACAACAGCTATCAATAAACTATTCTGAATAAGCTACCCCAAACAACAAGCCAGCTTATTCTTATAATATGTAAATTATCAGATTAACAGAATAATCTGTTTATCAGCAGATTATATTTAATCAATAGCTGCCCCAAACAGACCCTAAATATGTTACATGTTAGTTTAAAATTTAATCATTTTAAAGTGATTTAATTAGGATGAAAAAATAATATTTTTTATCTAATAAAATATAAAATAATTATTTATATAGAACTAATTTTATATTTCTAATTATATTGCGAGCTAAAATAGAAATATGATGCATCATTTCCGATAGGACGTGGTCTTTTAGGAAATACATATTCTTTTAGAATTATTTTTTTCACTTCAATATAGTTATGGTCCACAATACATATGAAATTTTTATATATTTCTCAATTGAATTAATTCATACTAACACGTACAAATTAATTTATTGTAGGATTTTGAGATGGTAATAAATATGTGACAATTATAAAATATTTCATGTAAATAATAATTTGATCCAAACATAAAATTCTTATGTATCATGATTTCTTGTCAACATTTGATTATTGCATTAAAGAATAAGTTAATATTTTTAGTCCAAGGACAAAATATTAGTGTTGCACTAGGCATTTCATTATGGGATTCATTAGTTTTATCATCTAAAAATGTGGTATTCTAAAAGTTTTTAGAGGTGCTATGTCTCAAAAACTTACTACTTTCAATGGATTTCTTTCGAAGATTGAAAAGCGTTTTGCTTAAAATGATAAAATTGAAATAATTATGTTTCTTGCGAACTTGATACGGATGGTTCAAGCTCATGACAAACTACTTCGACCTAAATCCTTTCGGACAGGAGAATTAGTGTTAGTCCTTAAAAGATCGATCCTCATTCATCGAAAAATATGTAACAAGTTTGAACTGACGTTGGAAGGTCTGTCTGTGATAGATAAAGTATGTTTGAGGTTCGAGGCAGGCATCGGCTAGGTGACATGTTCACCACGGCACGAAGAAGGAGAGGCCCACACGGATGGGTGAGGACGCAAATTTCGACGCTAGTTCTGCGTCGGACAACCTCGCAATGGAAATTTGTTACGAAGGAAAAAAGCTGACGCTAAATCAAACACAAAATAAATTCAACGCAAATGTCTGCTAATTCATTTAATGATGCTCATTTTAATGACAACTTTTTTTCGACGCTAAACCCAATTTCTGCAGTGAATATTGCTTACCTTGGATGATATAAAACTATAAGCTTATAAAGTAGATAATAATGCTAGTATAACCAATATATTATGACAATTTATAAGTCAAATGGGAAGTGAATGATTTGCATGAACTTTCTTAAATTAAACTTGGTGTGCCAAAAAGAAAGTTATCCATTACTAAAAATTAATACTATTACAAGCTTTTTCAACACATTTACCCATCAAATTGTTGGAAAATTTCTTTTATAATCAAACATTGTGTGTAATTTATGATGTAATTCTATTTGGCATGTGTGACTTTCATAAAATAGTAAACCATATTTTTCTTAACAAAGTGATAAAAATTAAAATTTATGTTGAAGACTAATTCATAAAGAGTAAGGCCCATAATAATATATTTTTATCTGAATGAGACATTTGGTTGGAAGAAATAGTTAAATATAAGGCTCAATTTGCTTAATAAGGGGAATGTTTGAAGCTTTTTCACTGTATAATGAATCAAAACTAGTTTAGACAAAGTAAAGGTTATCATGGATATGCCTTCCCTTAATGTGAGAATTGTAGCATTAAACCACTTAATTTTCAGAACTTAAGAAAGGTGCTCATCATTTCTTAGAATAAAAAAAAAAAAAAAACTAAATACTTTTCATGAAACAAAGACCATGGGTCTGTTTGGTGCGGCGGTGTGGTGAAATTTTTAAAATTCACTGTAATTTTATCTGTTTGGGTAAACTGCATTTTCAGACCACAGAAATCTGCGTTTTCACACCGGATCTAACTATATGTGATGGTAGTTTTTTAGCCACGGTCAGACTTAAGAAAAAAAAAATGGAATAGCTACCGCAGATTTTTGAACAATAGATTATTTTTCAGTAACTTCACAACTGCTTTTTAATGAGTTGTTGCTGCCCTCAAACAGACCCTAAGAGAATGCTTTCAGACAATTGAAGGTTTTTTTTTTTTTTATCTCAACAATACAGAAGCCCATAAGCAAAAATAAAATTAACTCTTTTAGCATGGAGTTAAAGAGGAGTATATGAGTATTATATTGGTAAAAAAATATGTTAAAAAATAATGACTTATTTATTAAGGGTCAGTTTGGGGCAGCTGCAGCTTATCCAACTTATCCTGATAATCTGCTGATGAGCAACTGATCCAGATAAATTGGCCGACCGTTTGGTTTATGCGTTTGGAAAATAGACGATTATTGATAAATGATCATTCTGCCTTTGCTTTGGATAAGTTGTTTAATTGTTTGGTTTATGTTTTTGGAAAACAGCTGATTTGCATATTTTTGTATTATAAATTTTAATTTTCAAATTTATTTTTTAAGTTGTGTAACATAAATTCTAATAAATAATTTACATTTTACACTAATTATATAATAAGTTAATTTAAATTTAATTAGTTAACAAATTTACTTGTCCTCACAAATAACACAAAGTACAGGCACATATTCTCTTTGATCTGATTTGTCTTCCAATATGGATTCTGATGGTGAACATGCTGCATATAACACCTTATGTGCAATGTCTGAATCCAAATTCTCTTTTATGTTAAATGTTTCTACTTTATTTTTATTATATGGTGTAGTTCCCTGAGAAAATTCAAGCAGTTCTTCCTCAATTGGTTTGCTACAGAAATTAGAATTTGAACCTG